GTAGGAGGCTGGTAAGGAGAGAGTAAAAATAATCTCAAAAAAATTTAGCAAAAGATTAAAACAAGACAAAAACAAAAAAAAATTTTAATTAATCAAATTATTAAAAAACGCATCGTAAAAAATGCATTTAAATTGCAATATGAAAAAACATTACGACAATTAAAAAATTCAACTTGAAAATATAGAAAAAGAAAAAGCCGAAGGCGCGGCAATAAGAGCAAAAATTCAGTGGAGGTCAGAAGGGGGAAAATGTTCCCATTTTTTATTCGGATTGGAAAAACAAAAATTAGGTAAACAATGTCTCAGAAATTAACGGCAGAGACGGGCTGGTTATAATCGACTCAAAATAAACTTTATTAAAATTTGAAGATTTTTATAGAAACTTATGCAAATTCAAAGAAAACGACAAACCTTCTCAAGAATTTTTGTTGTTAAACGCTAAAGTTAATAAAGTTACTTAAATGTTAAAATAAAAAATTTCTGAAAGGGACAACAAGCTCTAGGGCAAATGAAAAATAATATCTCACCGGGTTCAGACGGACTAACCATCGAATTTTATAAACATTTTTTTAATTTGATTAAAAAAGACTTGATTGAAAGTTTATATAATGTTTTGTTTACAGGCGAAATGACAAACTCGCAAAAAGAAGCTATAATAACATGTGTTTTTAAAAAAGGAAACAAAAACGATATCGGAAACTGGAGATCCATATCTTTAACAAATGTAGATTATAAAATTTTAACAAAAGTTTTGGCCAACAGACTCAAAGATATTTTACCAAATACCATAGCAACCAAACTGCTTGCATTAAAAACGGAACAATATATTTTAATCTAAGTTATAGAAGAGACATTATAAGCATCGCTAAAAAAAGCAAGTTTAGACGCTTGCATTCTTTCTATAGATCAGGTGAAAGCTTTTGATAGATTGATAGAGCTTTTTTCTTTTGATAGTTTGAAACATTTTGGATTTGGAAAAATATTTATATCTTTTATAAAAACAATCTATAATAGTATAAATGCTAAAGTAAAAATAAACGGTCTGTTATCAGAAAAAATAGATATTATAAGAGGAGTAAGGCAAGGCTGTCTTTTATCAATGATATTACACATCATACAGGCAGAAATATTTTCATCCTATGTTAGACAAAACAAAAATATTAAAGGTATACATGTGAAAGAGAGCGAAACAAAAATACAGCAATGCGCTGATGACACGAACTTCTTTCTAATCGGAGATGATTCCATTAGAGAAGTAGGAAAAGCCTTAAAACTCAACCAAAAAGCTACAGGCACTAAAATAAACATTGCCAAGTGTTAAGGCATATGGTTAGGCAAAAATATTTTTAAAGACAAAAGTGAGTATTTGAATTTCAATTGGGACGATAACACTTTTAAAGTTTAGGAATATTTTTCTCGAATAACGCAAAAAGTACAAAACACACTGGAAGAAGCGTTTTAACAAAATGGAAAACTCAATGCAAAAATGGGAAAAATACTATTGTCCGTAAAAGACAGAAAAACAATCATAAACTCTTTAATTATCCCTCAAGCACTGCATTTGGCTTTTATAGCGCCCCTACCTAGTAATGGAATTCTAAAGGGGGGTAAAATATGTAGACTAAATAAAACAAAAACACAACAAAAGATAAATGAGGACGACCCAGGAGTTAACAGCTTAACCAACAAACTTAAGGCCATACAACTGCAGTAGATCAGCAAAATATACAACGAAAGTACATGCGGCCCGTGGAAAGATGCTATGGTTTACATACTAAATCTACACAGAAATGCAAACCAAAGCAAACACATTTTTGAAACTATACCTACTCAAATGAAACTATTACCCCTTTTTACTCTCAGCTCTTAGTTAATTGGCATAGTTTAAAAAAAAAACATGTTTTACCTATAACAAAAATTGAAGAAATTTTGAACCAACCTTTTTTTTTTTAACTCAATGATAAAAACGATGCCAAATAAGTTTTTAACTCCGAGCGAAACTCAGATTAAAAACGATATTATACTTGCAGCAGATATTACTAAAACGTTTCAGCTGGGTTTTTTACATCATAAAAGCATTGGCTTGACCAAAAAGGATTTAGAATGTCTTACAAATGCTTTGCCAAGAAAATGGTATATCAGAATGTTAAAATTATGATTTTAAAAAGTCTTCATTTTATTTAGCCAAAAAGGAAAACAAAATACGAATATAAAAATCTAACTGTTTTACAAATTTTTACAAATCTTCATAAAAGAAATACTAACAACAAATTCTAAATAATAACAAAAAACAGCACACTTTTTATTGCCCACCAACGATAAAATATTTGATTTTAAAATTAGAAAAGACAAACTTTGTCCACAGTGCAAACTTAAAAATGAAAATACTGGCCACATGATGTATGAATGTGAAAAAGTACAGTCACTAATATTTTATGTTCTAGATATTTTAGACCAGCTCTACCCTACTGAATACCCTCTTAATAACAATTTTAAATTTATTTTATTAAGATACGAATAAAACACAGCCCAGAGGCTTTTTGGCTGTTTATTATTAGAAAGTTTTATTTGTGAGATCTTTTTTAACAGAATGAAAAGTCAATTTGAAAGCAAAACATTTACTAATAAATATTTGCTAGAAAAGTTTGAAAGAAAAGTTGCAAGATTATTTTTAAATGAGTTACTTATGCTGAGGCAACAATATAAACAAGAAAAACACATAAATGAAATTAGAAGCATTTTAAAAAAAGGAAGATTAAATTTGATAGCAGATGTTCGTGACTATTTCCTATAATTTTCCTTTTTTTCTTTTTTCTTCTTTCGAGTTATTATTTTTATTTTTAAGATTTATTTTGTTTTCATTTTATACGGGTCCAACGAACATCTTTATAAACGTTTTTCGTTTTTTCGTTTTTTTTAAACCTTGTATTTATTATGAGAACGTCAGTATGACAATTAGCCGGATGACGGAATAAAATACAATACCACAAAAAGGTTTGAATTGCACCTTCTAACATCGCGAGCAATCCTGTCCGCTTTCTCTATGCTATCTTTCTAACTCGACTATTTCTATCTTTCACTCTACCTTCGCTCTTCCCAAAATCACTTTACTCTTGGTCCGTAGAGCGGGTTATGACGCTCCCTGGGGAGCCGAACTTGTCTTTGCGGGCCTTGGTAATGTGGCCTCTATATGGAAACTAGCCGGAGGAGGATAAACCACAATACTAAAAAGGTTTGAATTTATTTATTTAGATAAAACTATTACTTTTACTATTTTATTATTTAAATACTATGGTGTATATTTAAATGTTTATTACTTTTAACCTTATTCTTTCAATGTTTGATTTAATGTTTTACTTCTATAAAAAGCTAGACTCACGTGACATATTTATGAATATATATTAAATTATATGTATTTAAATTAATAATAAATAAATAATTATTCAGAATATTATAAAAAATTTAAGCAAATAAAAAAGTGGGACCCATGTGGGTCCCACTTTTTTATTTGTTTGAATTTTTAAACTTTTTTATTTGTTTAAATTTTTATTTGTTTAAATTTTCAGCCCATATGGGCTGCCCACTTAGGCCCCAATTCACGCCCAGCAACAATTTTCCTTGGCGGAATGTGGGCAACCCATTTAGGCTCCATAAAGTTGCCTAGTTGGGCCCCATGTGGGGCCCAATATGACTTGGTGGCTGAGAACTTGACAGCATTTTTGCTTTTATGATGTTTCCTGCTCGAAGTAGGAGTTGTCTCTTCTTCTTCATTGTTTTCGTATTCACTGTCGTCAGCCTCAGAGTCAGAATCACTAAAACCAGGATAGTCAGATGATGAGTTGGATGACTTATTAGAAAGTTTTTGCCTTTTAGAGGGATGGATTGTTTCTTTACTGGCCGCTGGGCCTGTAGAGTATCCTTCTGTTCCTTTGCTTTCCTCAGAAGATAAACATGTTCCATCCACTGTAGTTATATATGTATATATATATATATATATATATATATATATATATATATATATATATATATATATATATATATATATATATATATATATATATATATATATATATATATATATATATATATATATATATATGTATATATATATATATATATATATATATATATATATATATATATATATATATATATATATATATATATATATATATATATATATATATATATATATATATATATATATATATATATATATATATATATATATATATATATATATATATATATATATATATATATATTGTTATTTATGTGCCCCTAGAAGACCTAACGGTTTTGTCACAGAGCACCGCGGAAGTGCATTTAACCAAAATGTTCACGCCTTCTTCCTTACCGTGATCCAAAAATATGTTCAGAGTTTGTTTCGAATATGGATCTCCTGCTTATAAAGCAAGCGCTCTAACCACTGCGCCACGTCCGCTATAAATATTTTATTTTTCACCGCTTATATCAAATATTTCATCAAGGGGGTTCGTAGCTTCCCCACTTGACACATTAATCATAACATTTCAGTATTTTATCAAGCTTTGCTCGTATAACTTGATGAGATACATAAGAAAAATTCAGTTTATTCTTCCACAATTTGGTGACTTCTTTGGAAATTTCCGTTATTTGCTCGTTTCTTCTTTTGATATTGGTCCAAGAAAATGGTAGTGTCCGATAATTTGCTTTTGGAGAGGTATTCTGCACTTTTCTTCCTTTGAATATACCAAAAAAGGTTTGAATTTATTTATTTAGATAAAACTATTACTTTTGCTATTTTATTCCACCAACGGACCGCTGTTTAAGATTTAGCTTTTTGCCGCTATCCGTCTGCTATTGAACCGCCAATAGCTCTCTGCCAACGGTCTGATGTGCAAGTCAACGCGGCAACACAGAGGGCGGGCGACGTCGGCACGGCATAAGTGCTGACAGCGGTCCTACTATTTAATATTTGTTGGGAATTTGGATATTTTTTTTTAGAAGTGATTTACATATTAATTTGCGTAACTATTTTTCAAAATATTTTTAAGCATAATTAAAAAAAAAATTTTCTATTATTCTACTGGCTTTCTTGAGGCCAGTCAAATGTTTTAAATATATCGGACTTTCCCTTTGCTCTAATTTCTGATATACCATATTGATTCAACTTATTTACAGACGATTTCCATCCAATCATCTGGGCATTTGTTTTTGGAAAAGTATTTTCTCTGTCATTGTTTTTAAGATGATCTTCTTTGCTGTCTGTTTCTGCTTGAATCTAGGCACAAAAAAATAATTAACCCTATGTATAGACGTATAATAAGTATGTAAGCTTAAAAAATATGTACAGTCCCTGAACAAATTATGAGCCCATTTTATAAATTTTGCGGAATTTTGACTATTTAATGGTTTAAGTGTCATTAAAATTGGTTTTCAATGTATTTATTTGCTGATTTATGCTTCTTGATTTATATCTTAACACTTTTAGGCTATTAGAAATATAAAATTAATTTTTAGGGTGCCAACATTTTTAGCACGACAAACGGTATCTATTTAACTCATAACATTTGTGATTTGTCCGTCATGCTATTTTACTATTTTTTCTTAAAGTGCAGTAATTTTTTGTTATCTATTGTGATATAATTACATTAGATTTATATTATAATACAATTTTTAAACAATATTTACACATGTTGTATAGTTTGCTTTAATATTTTGTATACAAAACAATTTTTATCTTTTTTAAAATATTTTTTTAGTAAAAAAAATTGTCCAAAAGTTCTTAATAACACAATGGGGAAAAAAGTAAACATCAATTCTGAAAAAAAAACATTTATTCAATATCTTCTGAAAAATAAGCTTTACTTGATAAGTAAAATATTAAAAAAATGTGAGATATCAAAACGCACTGTGATCAGAATCAAAGACAAATTGAAAAATGGCCTTCCATTAGATATTCAGAGACAAGGCAAATGTGGTCAAAAAAAGAAAATAACACCAAGGAATGCGATAAAGCTCGTGAAAATGTGAAAAAAAATAGATTTGCTACATACTCAGCAATTACTAGCAAGTTGATTGAGGTGGGACTAAATTTAGCAGCAATCACTGTTCAACGAAGTTTGCACGGATTGAGCATTAGAAGTAAAAGGCTAGCACAAAAGTCAAAATTAACTGATTTTCAGAGAAAAAAGTGCCTGGATTGGGCAAAGTAGTTTCACTGTTGATGACTGGAAATCAGCAAGTTTCTTCCTAATATTCTAGTGTTAGTATTTAGTGATTGTTTTTATTTTTTTTTCTCCAGGTATGCTTTAGCGATGAGTATACAATAGAAATTATGTCTCAAAAGGGTCAATATGTGAAAAGGGCTTCGAATGAAAAATTTTATAAAGATTTTATAATCCAGACAATTAAACACCCTCCTTAAGTCATCTTTTGTACGGTTGATAGTGGAAAAGGCCTTGGTCAACTGTACATTGTGGATGGAAGATTGAAAGAGTACCAATACAAAAAGGTCATCAAAAACTGTCTTTTAACTCAATTGAAGAAATAGTTTCCAATTAAGCAAAAGAAAATATTTATGCAAGATGGACCACAATGCCACACGGCAAAATCCACTAAAAAAATTATTGGCATCTCTAAAAGTTCCCTGATCTATACCCCATAGAAAATGTATGGGAGCTATTAAAGAGATAAATTTTTCTAGAAAAAGTTAAAAATAGGACCTATTTGATTGCAAAAATGTTATTTGGCATTGAAACCACAATGCACACTTGAAGGAAACGGCTTTAAGTTGCATTTATAGTATACCAAATTGTGTTCGTGCATTTACAAAAAAATAAGGGAGGATAAACAAAATATTAAAAATTCATGTTAATAAACATATTCTTATTATTACTTTGTGTATCTTATGTTAGATAATAATTAGGGATGTACCGAAACTTCGGCTTCGGCGTGCCGAAGCATGGGCAAAATTGCCGAAGCTTCGGTTCGGCCGAAGCCAGGTCAATTTTTTGCCGAATCTTTGGCTTCGGCAAAAAATTTTAAGTACTGTGGGACAAGTTATAAAAATAAGCTAATTGCCAGTGTCTAATAAAGTTATAACTTTAGGACTACAGAGTTAAAATTGGAGTCAATACCATATACTTAGTATTATTTACTCCCAAGTGTCTTGTTATGGAGGGGATAATAATAAATAAGTAAAAATATTTTGAAAAAAATAATAAAATTAGCGAAGTCCTCATACACTTTGCGAAAGTCCTCATACACTTTGAAAGTCCTCATACACTTTGAAAGCTTCCAAGTGTGACTTTAGATGAACTGAAGCAGCATTTCTATGCAGAATAAAAGCCTTATAATTTAAAACAAATTAAAAGTTTTTAAAACCTTAATTTGTATTATGTAACGAATTAATATTAATTATTGTGTGGGATTACCGCAAATAGAACAAAATTTGGTTTCAACATTTGACCGATAAACCTTAGTAATCTCTCTTTAAAGAAGATTAAAGATACGTTGCTACTATTTTAAATTGTGTGTATGTTTAATTTTTTAAAATTTTATTTAACCATATTAATAAAAATTTGCAAATTTTCATCGTAAATTTACAGAAATTGGTTAGGTGTCACTTATATAGATACAAAAATAGTCAATGGAGTGACACATAAAAAACATAAAGTTATCAACAACAAAAAAAGGAAAAAAAGCAAATGAAACATGAACGAGGAGAATGAAAAAAGAAAAAAAAAGCCAACAAAAACTAGATAAATTAAAAAAAAAAAAAAACAATGAATTATCATTGTTGTTTTTTTTCTTTTACTTTCTTTTATCAACTATCCTTGCATTTTTATTAATATTATGAATACTTCTAAATTGAATTTATATATTAAACATGTAAATCACTATTCTGGTTTCTTCTTATGATATTATGAAGACTTTTAAATTTTATTTAAAATAAATTAAAGGTTGAAGCTTTGATTACTTTAAGCTCTTATATTTATCATCAAAATTTATTTAAATTAAATAAACAATTTAAATCAAATAAATATCAGCCTGCTCAGTCCCTGTTTATTTATAAATATAAAGCAAATAATAATATAATTATAAATAAAAAATTTATAAAGTATTCTATATAAATTTATAAAGTATTCTATATTCTTCGGCAAAGTGGCTTCGGCCACTTTGCCGAAGCTTCGGCTTCGGCAAAGTGGCTTCGGCAAAAATCTCAGCTTCGGTACATCCCTAATAATAATTAAAATTTATTTATATATATAGTTTTTATCTGTATTTTTTTAAAAGCATAAGTTTTACCTCTAAGAAGATAAAAAATACAAAAAAAATCAGAATGGGCTAATAATTTGATCGGGAACTGTATGTATTTCTCCTGATGATTGCAATAACAATCGTCAGTATTATCAATTATAACAATAGTATTAAAAATAATAATAATAATTGAATTAAAAGTTTATGTGTTAATATATAAATTGGACTAAAAATTTTATAATAAACTCAATAAAATAAAGTTAAAAATGCTTTGAATTTCATATTAGTAGTATAATTATTTTAGGGGAAGATTGCTTAAGTTGAGCATGTTAACATTTGCAGCCGAAATATTATAATATTTATAATATTTTTTGCAGATTATCAGAATTTAATATTTTTTCTTAAAGAATATAAAAAAACAGTTCATTAAAAAAAAATCTTTATACCAAAAATTGCGTTATTTTTAACACACCCAACCATCTCATCTTAAGAAACCAATCTCCTAAATAAAGCTCCGTGAAAAATAATTTCTAAAAAAACTCATTTTTTTTTAATAAAAAAACGCATTTCGTCTTGAGCGTCACAAAATCATCTTAAGCAACTTTACCACCCAGTGGGCATTTCGACGTCGAACGAACGTCAAGCGACGTCGGATCTCGACGTCGGATCGACGTTGGGTTTACGTTGGAAATATAAATGTTATTTGACGTCGGATAAACTGACATCGCGCGACGTCGGCATTCCGATGTAAATCCAACGTGTTTTTTGAAAACTAAAAAAACGTTACCTCAGGCAGGAATCGAACCTCGATCTGTTATCAACTAAATCCTACGGGCTTACCACTACACCACAGGGACATATTAGTCAACACAATTATTTAGTAATTTATACTTGTAGCTATTTGGGAATTATTACTTTGATAAGAAATAATTTTGTTTAAATATTATATAAATATTAAAACGAATAGTTATATATTATAAAAAATGTATACTCGAAAGTTTTAATAGTTAAAAAACTATGCTAGTGCATAATACAAAACCTCATGATGTTTTATCAACCATTATTCAAACTTCTTTCCATTAATAAAAAACACGCTTAGTTCACATATTTATTGAAGAGCGCAATTGCACACATATTGTTGGGTTTGGATTAAATTTTCATCAGCGATGTCTTACGATGTTGTTCCGACGTCGTTTTAAGGACGTTGGATTGACGTCAAAAGACGTCAAAAGACATCGGAGTACGTTAATATTATGACGTTGCCCGACGTCTTTTTATCGACGTTGGATCGATGTCAGTACTGCGACGTTTTTTGGACGTCTTTTATAAGATGTCGGAACAACGTCAAAATACATCGAAACGACGTCAGGGGATGTTGAGATAAAGACATCGCCCGACGTCATTTTACTGACATCGGAACAACGTCGGAATAGGTCTTTTGACATCGCTGATGAAAATCGTACGTAAATCCGACGTCGGATTGACGTCGGGTGCCCTCTGGGCAAGAACTATCATAATTTAAATAGCACGTTAATAGCCTATGCATAATTTCATATAACCATGGAATTAGAAGTAGACAAGCATAAAATATTTAGGATTTAATAAATTTTTGATGGTCTTGTTTTGTTCTGACGTAATTACAAAGTATTGAATAATAAAAATTTATAACGGGGATGGTAAATTTTGTTAACAATAAAACAATGAAAGAATATTACTATACAACCAAGAAATTAAAATAAATAACACCGTCGAACTTGTATGAATATACTTAACCAAAAAAGTTCGCAAAAAAAATTAGTAGTCTACCCGAGGTAAAAAGAGGTTATACCCTCTTAGAAAACTGCTCATCTTATGCAACCTTCCTCTATATCTTTTACGCTTACATACTTGTTGATAAAACTACGTGATATATATATATATATATATATATATATATATATATATATATATATATATATATATATATATATATATATATATATATATATATATATATATATATATACATATATCCTTCTTATATATATTCTTCTTGTTTCTTTTTGTTTGTCTGTTTTAATTTTGTTAAAAAAAAAAATGAGTAGATGAACTTAAATCAATAAAATGTTCGGAATCTTTTTCAATTCAAAATATCTTTTGTATATTTAAATATATATTATGAAGTTTATTGGATATGTATACGCATATGTACGGATTTGTAAACTATTTTTTCAAACTTTTTTATTTTTTATTATTTTCAAACTTTTTTAGTTTTGTCAAACTTAAAAATTATTTTTTAAACTTTTTGATTTTTTCAAAATTTTTAATTTGTTTTTTTAAACTTTTTTTATTTTTACTCTTTTATATATTATTGGAAATTGTAAAAATTTTTTTTTTATTTTCACGAAGGAGCTTGATGATAAGACATTTTGTCTTCTACTTGCCCCAGTCAGCTTGCATTTGTATAAATTTATTTGAATGTAAGGTTAACATTGCAAAATGTGTCAAATGACGAAAAAAAATAAATAAAAAAAATATATAAATAAATAATAAATAAAGAAAATTGCAATGATGGGAGCCTAGGAACAGAAAAGCATTAAAATATTTGCTCCTCTAACCCAAAATTTAGTGTTGCTAGGGTCTATTGTCAGGGCAAAATGTTTTGATTAAGCCTAAATAAAGTAGAATAACTCACAATAGACTAAAGTTAAGCCAAAACAGTTTTTTTTTTTTTTTTTATTTTATTTAGGTGCCCAAAGAAGTCCTTCCGATCTTATCACTGAGCACCGCGGTTGAGAATTTAATTAGAAGCTTACGCCACCTTCCTAACTGATGTCGCAAAACTTACCCAGAGATGGCTTTTGAACCACGGATCCTTTGTTTCTGTAGCAAGTGCGCTACCACTGCGCCACGGCTGCTAATTTCACGGCTGATTTCAAAAACATTTACAGCTATTTTAAATTGATATAAAATAAAATAAATCCAAAAAACCAAGCTTTGATAAAAATTGAGATTTATTTAAAGGTGAGCCACCTTTAAGGGGTTACCCTTAAATTTATATGGTCATAATTTTTAAATTTTAAAAGTTTATACTATGAAACTTAAAATTTATTGATGAATATAGTCTAGTTAAGAACAGTAAAAAACTATTCATCAGCTTGTTGCTCCCACGTTTTGGGCAGGGGAAAAAAAAATTTTGAGAGCATTTATGCATATCTTTATATATATTTACTAGGGTAGTTCTAAAAACAACATTTTTGGAAAATGTCTGATGGCACCCCCTAAATGTGTTCTATGTAATAAATTAATAAAAAATTTAAAAAATTTTTAAAAAAAAAATTTTTAGGGGTCGCTCAAGACCTGTAAACATCAGACGGGTCCCTAAAAAAAACGATTTTAAGTTTTTAAGCCATAAACCATGAGTTTAAGCTTAAGTCATTAAACCGTTTTAACAATTTTTAGTTTTTAAGCCATATAATTTGAATTAGGGGAAAGCGGGGCAACATGGTGAATGGGGCAAGATGGGTTTTCATATAACAACTCAATAAAAAATCTTAAAAATGGGTGAAAATGAAACTGTATTTGCATTTTGTATTTTAAAATACCAATTGGTTTTTTGAAATATTATTAACGCAATTTTATACGCATAAGTTTACTTTTTGCGCCTAAAAAAAAATTCCTCACTTTCGGTTTCTCATAACGGATAATGTCCTTCAAGTTTAACTTCTTTAGAAGTAGTTTTTGGTGATTTGTGTTTATTTTTCGTTACTTTAGTTAAAGTTGTTGGTAGTTTTTAAAATTTTATAAAATTGGAGGTAAAAATTGAATAATAAGTCATCTTGCCCCGGTCACGTGACCAGATGACAAATTTATGAACTTTTTATTTTAATATTTATTTCAAATTGTTATATTTGCAAACGGAAAATTTATGCAGGGAATAAATCATTTTAATAACATAAACATACTCAGAAAGTATTATTGCTTCACGACTGATAGTTTTGCAATAACTCAGGCCTTTTAAAACGTTCGCCATGTTGCCCCGCTTTCCCCTAGTTATCTTTATATAAAATGATTATTGTTTTTGGATGTTTTATAAAATTTCACTTATTTTGAGACCCAACATGATATACTTTTATAAAACTTTTTTTTTCAAAATATTATGGATCCGTCTAATATAAAAGGGTCTTGAGCGACCCCTTTTTTTTTATTCAAAAATTTTTTAAATATAGAATTAATTATTACATAGAACACATTTAGGGGGTGCCATCAGACATTTTCCAAAAATGTTGTTTTTAGAACCACCTTAATATTTATCTCTTTATATATATATTTACCTCTTTATATATATCCAAAACGTATCCCCATTTTTCAGGCCAATGTTTTTGTGCCACGATTTCTCTACTGATATGATCTTTCCTAGAACAAACAAGCAATAATCTTGAAAAATATTTTCACACACCTCGATACATGCACCGGAGCACTAAATGCTTTATCCTTTAGAAATGTGAAATTGGACCTTCAAACTGTGATTTCGTTTGTATTTTAGTTATTGCATGAGTTTGTATTTAATTGTTTGTTTATTTATTTTTTGGTACTTTATTAATATTTAACGCGTAATCTTGTATTGTGAAAACTACTTATGTTCATTATTGAACTCATTTTTTATTAGTATTTTTTTTTTTTTAAATATTAAAATTAAAAAAAGTGAAAATAGTCAATCTATGTCTTTGTGCATAGCTAAAAAAACGCAATTACATAACAACCCAGTTAATAACGTTAGCATTTATCAATCCTTCACAGTTTTATCTCAGTTATCTCATTAAAATTAAAATTATCTCATTACCACTTGCAACTTCATATGGGCAAACGTTTTGCACAACTTTTTTCCAGTCAGGATTCGCTGTCTTAATGATAAACAAATCAGGTCTTTTATTTAGTAATGTGTCGGCATTCACCAATCGTTCATGCATATTTTTTGCACTGCCTAAATAATTTGACGGTAATAGTATACTTCTTCGTGGAATTAGCTTTCAAATCTGCAATTTTCTCAACATGATGCCATAAATCATAAAAACACTCTGATCTTTCTGATTATCGTAATACCAGATCAGACTTTTTGTATCTTTTTTATCAATCAATATTACGTAATTCTAAAACAATTTTCCTACATGCAACAACAGATTACAAACTCCATTTTGTCCAAATAGATAAATGCTGTGTAATTTTTAACCTTTGTTGCTTGTTTTTGTTTTGTTGCTTTAGTTCTACACAAATCGACAACTTTTAAAAATTTAATACGGTATCGTAACATATCAATACTTGGTAAAAGCTAAAGTATACCTCTCATAGGACCACCTCTTTATTATACCTGTATATCAACTTGATGTGTAAGGGGAATTTTGCCATAATTATTGCGAAACAAAAATGTAACGTCAACTACTCTTGGAGAATTGAATGTATTCTTCTTAACTATGCTAACACATACGCTTATCCACTTTTTTCTATGTCAATAGAAAAGCTTATCCAATTTTCTCTGTCAATCACTTTTGTTCTGTCAATCACATTTTTATGTCATCACACATTCCTTAATTAGACGTTTTTCTTCTAGTGCACGTTTTTCTTTAAGTCCCATGTCTTTTTTCATTGATATTAATTTCATTGGCTCTTTTCAATTCCGAGTTCCACTTATTGTCTATTCTATAATTAAGTGCCTCGTCTCTATCATGTGCCCAAACTTGCATGAATTGAAGTTACTCCCAATTAGTTAACTTAAAGTTTCCTGAATTTTGATTCGGGCTGTCCCAAAGAAATCTTAAAGGCTAAATGCTAACTATAGATTCAATTTTACCGACTCCAGTATCTAATTTACCAACTAATAAACTTCGTAGGAAGACTAGACACCTCCTACACCCCCCGGGACGCCTGATTGTGATGCATCTGTCGATGTTTCTTTTATGCGATTTACACGCCTTTACTTTACAGCTTCACATTTCTATTTTTTCATCTCAGCTAATTGGCAGTAGTCTAATCCTCGCTTAACTTTAGTTAGGCTTTTCTGGGATGATAGTGGTGCTTGTCTACGCAATTCAATCAACTCATCGTCATTAAAACCGTCCTTTACTGATTTTTCTGAGATGATATCTGACCTATCTGGTGTTATAATATTACTCTCCAACGCAATTCAGCTAATTCTGATTCAAACTTGTATGTCTTAGCATCAATTCTCTTTTTTTGCATCAAATCAGCCTTATATTTGCATCGCTTAGCAAATTTATCACAACTACCATTTAGTAAACAGTTTTGCTTTAATACTTTATTTTCTACAAATAGCTAATGATAATTCATCTGCCTGTTCTGATTGAGTTATTCATTGAATTATTATATTTTTTTAAAGATATAATAACTTTATTTGACTTACAACCATTACTTGAATAGATCCTCGTTATTTTTAAAAACAAACAAAGCTAACTTGTATAGTTTTTTAATTTGGCAAATTTTCTTAATAAATAAGTTAAACTATTTTAAAACCAAAAAAGGTCGCAACTGTAATTGAAATTAATCTAAAATTACAAAATATTTTTTATTTAAAAATTTCTATAGCAAATTTGGCTTAATAGCATTGACTTACAGTAATACAATAAAATAATATAATTTTTAATAATAAATAGTATTTTATTATAAGTAAATTTTACTTATAATAAAATACTATTGTAAGGGCCATCCATAAAGGACGTCACCATTTTTTAGCCAATTTTTGACCCCTCCCCCCCCTTTGTTACCGTTTGTCCTTTTTCCCTATTCCCCCCTGGAAAAAGACGTCACAAAATCCTGACCCCCCTCCCTATATGAATCTGCTGCTACACCTTTGAAAAATAAAATTAAAAATATTCTCATACATTATCTTCTCAAAAACACATGTTTACGTAGTTTTTCATGTTAATTAAACTAAAATAAAAAATCTATAAAGTGACGTCCTTTTCCGACAACCTCCCCCCTCCCCTTGTACTTCTTTGTCCGTTTTAACTCGAGATCTCCCCCCTTCTCCCTATTTAGATGACGTCCTTTATGGATGGCCCCATAGTATCCTTATGCAATGACATCGCAAATGGCAAAAGCGTTTATAAAAAAAAAAAAAAGAGAAAAGGAAAAACGAAGGAAACTATTTTAAAGAATTATAAATTTAAAAAATAAAAAAGATTAACTGAAAATAAAGAAAAATATTGAGAGATAAACGAAAGAAAAGATTGAAGAAAAAATAAAACAATAATTAGAATAAAAGAATAAAACGAACAATTAGGTTTAATAAAACAAAAACAAAAACAAAACAACAAAAAAGTAAAATAACAGCAAAGTACCACGTTAAATAAAAAAATGTTCGATAAATGTTCGAACTAATAATAAAAAAGAACTAACTAAAACTTAAAATAAATCGCCGACAATTTTTTTTCCGCTAAAAATTATACAATAAAGAAAACATTAAATTATTATTATTTTATTTATTTATTTTGTGTAGATTTTGTAGAACTGTAAGTTTACTTTTTCGTTTGCGTAATGTTTGTTATTATTTGTGCAGTTGATGTTAATTATTTTTATTGTTGTTCGTTCTTGTAACTAATTGTTTTCATATATTTTTTTTTTGTCTTAAGGCGGCTTTCCACGGAGCGAATTATTTCGCGCGACGCGAAATGTTCCTCCGCAAATATTTCTGAGCATGCGCACAATCATTTTTTTTTATCGCCAAGCGATTTTTTTCTCCGCAAAATAGTTGGATTGACTTCAACTTTTTCTGAAATATGAACTTTTGAAATATGCGAATTCAGCAAATATGTAAATTTTTAATGGCCAACAGTAGAAACACGTTTATTAAGTGGTTTAAAGAAAGAAATGTTAACGTAGATTAATTGGAAGCTTTAATAAATGCTTCTCAAAATCAAGTTGCAATCACAAATGAAGAAATAGTTGATAAATTAGACGAAAACGAAGAGAATGAAAATGATAATTTTATTCCTGCTGAATTCGATATTGATCATTTTATAGAAGCTGTTCGTGAGCTTCCAAGCTTGTGGGATGTGAATCATCCCACATACAAAAACAGATTGGTTAAAGTAAATGCTTGAAAAAAACTTGTATTGAAATTTTATAAAGAAGAGGACTTCCTTCAGAAAAAGATAAACGTAACCGTATGACCAGATCAGGAGCAGCAGTCTCAAACTTACCAAAATGTAGGGGAAAGGTGCCTATGATGGCATACTTAATTTTGAAGATTTATTATAAAGTATCCTGAAGACCAAAAATAAAAATGTTGATATAGGTACATTCCTAGTAACTTGTAGAACAATAATAACCTTCAAAATTTTTATCAGTTTTACTTTTTTGAAAGTTATTTCAATTTTTTAAAAAGTACGAGTATGCCATCATAAGCAACCAACTACTCCTATGATGGCATACTTTTACTAAATTACACAAACAGAGCTTATTTTTTATTTTTTACCAATGATGATAATTCAATATATTCTTCAAATATTTATAAACAAAAGTTCACATATATATTTTCTTTGTTTTTTATCTACGCCTGTGCATAAACAATGACACCAAGAGTTACATTTTTGGCAGCAAACCCAAGGTTCTTTGGAATAAGACTGTGGATAAAATTCTTTGGAATAAGACTGTGAATAACGTTCTTTGGAATAAGACTGTGAAAAAAGTTCTTTGGAATAAGACTGTGAATAAAGTTCTTTGGAATAAGACTGTGAATAAAGTTCTTCACAAAAAAAACAAGCCGTATCAGATACAAAATCTATTTTATTGAGTCTTGTATTATTTGCATCAGTGGAGCTTTATTTTTCAAGTAACATTTTTCTTTTACTTTTTCTAACAGTATTTTCTTTTTCAACTGAACTCGTTCGTTTTTTTTCCTTATTATCATTTTCTATTGCTTTATCTTTTAATTCTTGGATGTTTGGAGTAGAATTCAGATGCCCAGTTTTCCCACGTTTTTTTGTGCACTTAAATTTAGTATTAGGAGTTGCTAAAGGCAAGGGAGACAACTTTTGTATTCCATATTTCAGTTCTTGTCTTGACACAGACGTTTCAACGCTGCCAGACACATCTGATGCAGGAGAGCTTATATCTAAATGTTTTGATTTCTTTGATTCTTGTATTTTATCTGATGCAGGAGAGCTTACTTCTATATTTGCTGAACTATCAAGTTCTTGCGTTTTTCCTAATGTGGAAGAGCTTATTCCGAAATGAGTTGAATTCTCAAGTTCTTGTGTTAAATCCAATGTTGGTGAGCTTATTTCAAAATGAGTTGATTTCTCAAATTCTGGCGTTAAATCTAATTTGGAAGAGCTTATTTCAAAATGTGTTGCTTTCTGAAGTTCTTGTGTTTTTTCATTGCTTTTAAATATCTCAACTTATTCTGTTGTTAATGAAGGTGCAAATATCCAGTCTTCCAATGTATTGGGATTGAAAGGATATATTCCAGTTTTGGCAAAAGCATGCACAGCATTTGCTAAAGTTTCATTTTTTAAATATGCATTGTTTAAAAGTCCAGGAAATTGGAAATGTGTCACAACTCTACCAGGATGTTGCCTTAGTCATGTCTGAATCTCTTGATCATAATATGTCTGTAGTGGATTAAAAAATCCAACATCAAGTGGTTGGACGTGGTGCGTACAGTGTGCTGGAAAACAAAATATTACAACACCATTTTTTTTTTGCATATTTTAAAACTGCTAAGCTTTTATGAGTAACATGGCTATCTAATAAAAGTAGTTTTTTTGTTAGGTTTTGACGCACTAGAGTGGTATACAAAATATTCAAGCCATTTTAAGAAAATCTTACTAGTCATCCACCCTTTTTCCTGGCAAAAAACTTCACTGCTTAATAGAACGAATATCCATCAACTCATTTTTTGATCTTATTTTAGGAAATATGAATATTTGTGGTACAAATGTTCCTATTGCATTCATACAACATACTACAGTCAATTGCCGACCACGTTCAGCACTACTGAGTGCCCCTATTTGTTTTCTTTCTTTAGTAGTTAATATCTTCTGTGGTTTTTTTTGCACAGGACTTAACCCTGATTCGTCAACGTTGTATATATTTTCGAGAAAAAGTTTGTACTCTTCCATAATTATTAATAATGCAGTGAAATAGCAGTTGATATATTTTTTATTAAATTTTTATTAAACTTTTTCGAAGTTAGTTTTTAGAAAACAGTAAGCCATTAAAAATTAAGATATAAAAGAAAAAAAAATATCTTACAATCGAGGTCATTTACAAATAGTTAAAAACTAATCTTAAGTAAATACTATGAAATAGAATTGATAATACAAATAATAATGATTGTTAATGATAAGTTAAAAGTTATAAGAATAATAAGAAAATTATATGATAATAAACCAATATTAATTTTAAAACAACAATTAAATATAATGCAGAGACAGGAAAGTTACAAACAGTTATGTATTAACAAAAGGTAACAACCTACCATGTAACTAAAACAATTACTGCAAAAAAAAGTAACAATGATTTAATAAATATAATAATCCTAATATCAATAATCGTAATAAAAACAATAAAAGTAAAATAAATACTTCATTAAAAAATAATAATAAATAAACAAAACAAAAATTATTCAATAATACTCACAAATAAAAACGTGTCACACACACAAACATTTAGTCACGAAAAGTATAGAGTTTTTATAATAAATGACAATATTAAAATAAAAAAGTAAATCATATCAAAGTTGTTTCTTTGTGTTTGAAAGTTCAGTTTTCTTTTTTTTTTTTTTTTTTTTAAAGCTGCTTAACTTACCTTTACTAGACTAGGCGACACATTAGTTAGGTTTTAAAGAGAATAGCAAGACATGAAAAAACGAGTAGTTTTAATCAAAAGTATGATAAGTTGTTAAAATATCAACATTAAAGTGATGTCGCATAAAAAAAAATTATAAGCATTTAAGAAGAAAATAGCGAAATTTTTTTACTTTTTTGGTCGAAAATAAAAAAAGTGCCCGTGTATCTTACTCAACTGCTTTCCAACAATCTTTTGTTGAGCAATGTGTTCACATTCTAATTTCCCAACTTTCATTCGTTAGATGTTTTGTCATGTGATGCTTAGTTTTTGAGATATTTTAATTGCCAAACTTGCTCCTATGCTCAACTAGCCCCGGTCTACCCTACTAGTTTTTAATTTAATGAGTGACATCTTACTTAATTATGTAAAATTTTAATAAAATTTGTAATTTTTCAGTTTTCGGTTGATTAAATTTTTATTTACTTAATAAACTAAATTAATTTAATAAAATAAAGATAGTAAAAACCGTTTATAAACTATACTAAAAATCGTAAAGAAGACACTATACAGACACTATACACTATACACTACATTATACACTATACACTATACACTATACAAATACTACAGACACTATACGCTATACACTACATATATACTGAACATAACATTGCATATCGAGGTCCAAATATATGGAGTATCTACCAAAAAGGATTTAAATGTATGGCAAAGTCATTAAGTTCATTTAAATTTCAAATCAAAACAGAAATTTTAAAAGTTTAAGATTTATTTGTGCTTGAGTAACTCTGAAGTCATTTGATTCAATTTTTTCATTTTTTTTATTTTTATTTGATTTACTGACCAGCATAAAACTGTAGCAGTTTTATGCTGGTCAGTAAATTTAAACTCGGCATAAAACTGCTACAGTTTTATGCTCAGTTTTTTGTATTTATATATGTTGATTATTTTCGTTAATAAGCAAAACAAATAAAATACAAAAAAAAAAAAAGAAAAAAAAAAAAAAAAAAAAAAAAACAGGCGACGTTAAATAAAAATAAATCAAATATCTTACTATCGAATGAAAATACTATTTTCTGCAACTTGAACTAGAAAAGGAGTTTTTAACTAAGAGGTTGTCCATTAATTACGTCAACAAAGTAGGGGGGAGTGGGGTCTGAACTTTTTTGACAGTTGTTGAAAAGGGGGAGGGGGGAGGTTAATCAAAGTTGATGTCAATATAGTTTTTTTTTTTGAGTTTCATTGCTTAAATAACGGAAAGTTTGTAGTGTAGCTTCTTTGTATAGGAGGGGGGGAGGGTAATCAAAAATTGAAGTAATTTTATAGGTGTCTCTGGATATTTGACAAGGGTAGGGGGGGGGGGAGATAAAAAATATATAAATTAATGGACAGCTCACATCAGTGTTGAGCTACTAACACAATTAATTAATTCATTAATTAAGATATTAAAATCCATTTTAGTTTAGTCGTAAAAATAAAAAATAAAAATTCTTTTGTGAATTTTGTCAAAGATATTTTGTTGAGCTTTTGAAAAAAACTCGTTATTTATATAACTTTATAAAAAAAATTTAAAGGTAACGCTCCCAAGTTAAAATTTGTTTAATATATTGCTAACACTTGATATTATTTTTTAAAAAAGAACCATGCACATGAAGAAATAAAAAAATAAAATCCATAAAAAGAAGTTTTATTTTATTAAAGAATTATTTTAATAAAATCATTTAACATTTGGTAATAATATAATAAAATTTAGTATTACAATATTTGGAGGTAAAAATGCCAACTATTAAAATACAGCAAATATGACTATAATTTTATTAAAATATATATATTTTTTCATAAATGAATATAAACGTACCGCTTAAATATTTTGCAACGTTTAAACTTTTTTTCGTTAATAATTAGCAATTGTCCAGGATGTTTTAGTATTTTTTTTTTTTTAATCTATTTGAAATGTAAATAAAAATGTTATTGATTTCAATGGTTTTCTCAAAAAGTAAACAAACAAAAAAGTCTTTTTCAAAATATGTTAAAATTTACATTTTTTTCTTATTTGCAAAGATTTTTTTCTTATTTGCAAAAATTTGCAGAGTAAAATATTGCTTTTCAAATCTCAATTGCATTTAAACTATATACCGCAAATATTAAGAAATTTTTCACATAAGATGTTTACTGTTAATATAAGTTAAATTTATTAAAAATCTGCAACTGATTATAAAAGGTTTTACTAATGGCGCTTGATTAACGAGTGCTTTTTAGTCGGTAGCCGAATGTTGAACGTATTATTTTAGTTTTTAATTACTAAATTTATTACTTTATATTATATAGATTATTATACTATACATTACTAAACTATATTACTAATACTTTACAATATTTTGAAACAAATATTTAAAATAATCAAATTTATATTAATTTTACCAAATTTCATCGTTGTGAACAGCATTAAGAGATTTTCTTTGTTTTCGAGCATCCATTATTTTTGCTTTATGTAATGACGTCAAATTTTTTCTGTTATCAAATTTATTTTCTTTAAGAATCCAAAATCAAAAATTTATGCTAAATTAATCAATAACAATATTGATGAACTCAGTTTATGGTGAACCAGCGTTTGATGAGAATGGAGTGCCAATGGTTCTTAGCTGGAGCGTTGCTGATGTTGGATTATGGGTTCGCGACGTACTTCAATACCCAGAATACGAGGAATGTTTTGTTAAAAATTTTATAAATGGTCAAAAACTGATTTACATTGACGCTTCGATATTACCTCGTATCGGCGTAACAAATTTTTTACATATAATGGTTTGAATTTTTAATAACTTTTTTTTTTATGTGTTATTTTGTATTTGCATGATTCTATAAATATTAGCTTTAGATTGTTTTTCAAAAACAAACTGTTAAAAACCTTGTTTTTCAAACTTAAGAAGAAGCAATTGCAAAAATATTTTTAATGGTGATAAAGGAACTTTTATGTAAAACCTCTTTTTATATCAACAAAAGATTCGGCTAAAGGTAGGTAAAGGTAGAACATTTGTTAATGGAGAGAAGTGAATTTGAAATAGATAAACCAGGGTGGCCACTTAAATTTGAAAATGAAATTCCATAACTTTTCCATAATTTTTCCATGACTCTTCATAAATTTTCATGATAAATTTCTAGGGTAAAATTTCTTGTGCTTGCCATGCGCTAGGCTGTTACTTAGTCCACTTACTTGTCCACTTAGTCACTAAAAAAACAAAAAAATAATTGCAATAAATATTTCAAAATTATGTCTAAAAAAAAACTTTTATGTTTGACATAAGTTTGACAACTGTAACTTTAAAAATAAACACTATTTACTGTTTTATTATATTACTATTATATACTGTCAGTACTTGGTATCTAAAAAGATCTCTTTAAAAATAAAATGATCTTTTTAGATAACAACAGGAGCGCATGGCAAGCATTAAGTATTTTATCCTAGCTCTAATTATTAAAAGTTACGCATTTTTTTATATTTTGCTAGAAAAGACGTACTTTCCAAAAATATGTTTAAAACTTTTCCAAAAATATGTTTAAAACTTAAAACAAAAATTTATTTTAAGGTTGTCCCATCTCCGAAATAAAGCCTTGAAAATAATATATTTTCAGTATAATAAATCTAAATATATTGTACTATATAACCTCCAAAATAATAAAAATAAGCGACCTTGTGGTATTCCTCAAATGCCAATTTGTCTGGAATTATCATCACAAAAACCTTCCCCTATCATGCAACAATTTTTTTACAAGTACAAATTGTCACTATCCTCTTCGCTCCATCAGTAGCTTAAACTTAGTTATTCCAAAGCACCACTCTGCTAAATATGGAAATAAATCCATTAAATATCAATGTATTAGCTCATGGAACAAACTACCTCCTGATCTAAAATTTCTTAATTCAATCTCTGAAATCAAAATCAATCTTTTTAATTATTTGTTAGAAAAATACAATTAAATACTTCTACAAACTAATGTTAAAATTCATTATTATATATATCAATTTGTAATCTTTTAGTTCTTAATTTGATATTTTTAACATTTTGAAATTCTCTACTTATCTATTTACATCTAATTCCTCTGGTTTTCTATCTGCCATTTTTAAACTTTATTATTAAATTATCCATTCTAATATTATGAATTTTAGTACCAATGGGTTGGCATTCTTTATTTATCTATCTATTTATCTCTTTTCATTTAACAATTCTCTATTTCTCAACTATTCTACTTTGTACTAAATCTTTGTTTTTGCCATCAATATTTACTAAATTTTTGTTGTTGCTGTTATTGTCTTTATTTATGAAATTCTTCTCTTAATATAATTTTTATTGTTTCGTTACTTAATAATATAATTATTATTATTGTTATTATTATTATTGCTATTATTATTATTAGTATTATTAATATCAATTATTATTATTACTTTCATCATTGACTATAACGTTACGTTGTATATTGAGGTATTTACTTTATATTAGTATTTGTACTATTGTAAATTTCCTTGAAATGTTATAACTTATTTCAAAATATATTTGATTTGATTTTCAAAATTAAATAATAAACATAATCTTTATTCGATAAATTTATGAACAAACAACAGTGAAATAGAATAGTCTCACATAACTTTACTTTAAACATTTCAGGTTTCTAAATAACAAATAATTATCATCTATAACTTTTTTTGCAACAATTATTGATAAAAACCTTTTGTTTGAATTGTTATATTTTAAACAAAAATATGTTTGAAAAAATCTTACTACTTTACTACAATAAAAAAAATCTTCCAACAAATTGACATTAATGAATATATTTTCAAATTAAAATGTTAAACAAAACAAACTATAAGAATAAATCCTTATTAAACTAACTTATTTTTAAATATGTCTCTAATTTTACAACAGCATTATCTAGCTGTTAAATAAGAGTTTGCTTTGCCTTTACTTTATGCCTAAAAGCATTGGCTTTAACCAACAAATCCATGAAATTAGATTCTTGAATGTTAAAATGTTTAATTTCTTTGTTTACGGTAACAATAAACAATTGAATATTTTTTCATTCTCTTTCTTACATCAATAATTTCTTCAGTGGTGAACTTTCTTTTTTTGCTTTCTCAGTATAAATATTTATTTATTTATTTTTATTCAAATACCGCACATATTAAGAACGAGCTAAATTAGTTGCGAAATTGTGAACATCCTATTTTGTTGTGGTTACATGGTCATAAACAGCGTACTGACTAATCAAAAAAAAAAATTGTTGAACGTTCTCAATATAAAAAGTATTTTTTGACTTTTGATTCACTTGCAACAGTACACTGACAATGAGATAAAGTGAAAACTAGGATACAGACTTTCCTTAATTATTCAGAATGTTTTTTTCGACATTGCTATTAAGAGGTTGTCTTTATAATGACTTACCGGTATATCACACGTCTTGGCCCGTCTATGGAGAGCTGTAGCACGTTTTTTTGTTGGTAATTTCTTAAATGCTTCTTTTTATTTTGTGGTTAAATTTTCAGCATAAAGTCATTTTATTTTAGGTCCAGATAATGAGTTTCAACGGGACATGAGCAGAGCCGACGATACCGGGGGGGGGGGAGAGACACGTATCTCCCACAATCCCCCTCCTCTACACATTTTTTTTCTAAGTGACTTTTTTTTAAAGTAATTCTAGATACAAAGGACTTTTTTTTAAATTTGACGACTTCGCCCCTCCACCGTGTTTCGGCCCTGATGAGTACTCATTCCAATAACAAATTAGATCCATCTGTTCCTTTTTAAGTATACGATTCATAGACTCATCATATAAGACAAAAAAAAAATGGTGGCATCTGAACTTAACTAATTAATACAGATTTTAAAAAAGGACACTCCTAAGTTTATTAAATAGCTACACTTTGTTCTACTTATTGAATAACCTTTAAAAATTTTGCTATCTGTAAAAATAACCTTAAACTCACTTAAACCAGAATCTAAGTAAATAGTCAGACAAAACTAACTTTAAAGTTCAAACTATTTCTTTATTAAGAGTTTAGACAGGAATAATTTACAATTCAATAGATTTCAAAATCTTTGAAAGTGCTTAAATGAACTAGATTTTCTTATTGGAAGTAATTGTTTGTCAAAAAAGGTAACATTGCTTTTAGTTTCTTCTGCCTTTCTCAGATGTTTCTTACCTAACCCATGACTTATTACTTCTCCTATTTTATGTTATTACTAAACTGAAACTACACATGCAAACATCTTGCACTCAATTCAATTTTGTCTTCAGATATCTGATTTGAAAATCTAAAATTTTTTCGCCAATCATTATTTTAACTGCAATTTTTCTTAGACAATTTTATATTATTGATTCATAGCTAGCTTTAAATAATAAATTTAATGTATTTTTAATTCATAACAACTATTCATGAAACAACTTTTTTTTCATTCATGAATAACTTTTTTTAAATCATAATCACAAGTCATTACTTTTGTTAATTGAAATACACTTATTGTAATTGACATTTTAGTTTTTCAAAGTGTATTTATACAATTTGTTTTGTTTTATTTCAAAGCTTCATCCCAAAATAAGGTTTTAAAACATGGTTTAAGAGATAGCAGAAAGTATTACTTGCAAAATTGCAAAAAAAAAAAGTGCAGAACAAAAAAAAACCTAAATTGTTTTCATTAATAACTTTCCTTTAACCAGGGGTGTTTTTTATGCAAAAATAACATTTACTTAACAATAAATGGCGTATACTCAGCTGTATCTTAAGGTTTAAATATGTAACTTTTTGCCAGGACCGTTTCGAAGAGATTTTAAAGAGAAGGGAGTTGCCAACTCCGGTGTCCAACATGCTGACTAGTAAATTTAGTAGGGGAGCTAGACACCTCCTACGCCTTCCACCCCCCCTCCCCTCGGGACGACTTTGCCCTTTGCATATGATATAGGTCTCATTTTTCTTCACTAACACACTTTTTCTTTGCATTTCTTAAATAAAATATTTTTTAAAAATAATAATAAACTTGTCAATAAACGGATCTCTACCCTACGGGCATTTGTTTTCAAAAGTTACGTTCTAAATGTATTTTAAATGTCTTTTAAACGTCTTTTAAACATTCTTACGTAAAGAACGTTTAAAAGACGTTAAAAAAACGTTTAAAAGACATTTAGAACGTAACTTTTAAAAACAAATGCCCGTAGGGTAGCTACTGAGGCAAGCACGCTAATCACTGCGCTATAGCTTTGTTTAATTGTGAATTTTTGAACGGCAGAAAAACCGTTATTTTTTTAAATACATAGTTAAATGTTATTTTGAAAAAATGTTTTTCTTTTCAGATGTCAGCCAACGAGAACCTATTTTTTTTTTTTTTTTTTTTTTTAGATCTTAGTCGGAAAAATTTTTTTTATAGGCTTTATTAGCAAAAAACAGATACGTCACCCCCTCTTTAAGATCTTTTCGGGGCAGCTCTGAGTATGGAATGCGTCGTTCAAAATTTGTGGCAAAAAAATTGACTGTCCTTTAACTTTAGGACGCTACTGTACCACCAATATAAAAGTATTTGTCTGTGTTTTAATGTTATCAATTACCATAATTATTTTGATTACACAACACCAGTTTAACTTTAAAAATAAAAAATTATACCAACATAAAAAATATAAAAACAAAATTTTAAAAATTAAAGTTATAAATTTTAGGATATTGCTTCGAAAGTTCGTGTTCTTTTGGGTATCGAAGATCCGTTTTGGAATCGCAGCATTACTTTGCCTTCAAGAGATCCCGTTGGCCATTTTTTAGAAAGAAAATCAATTACAGGAAATAATGCTGATCGTTTGACATTTAGCGAACATCTTCGATATTTAAGTATGTTTAACGAACATAAGTAGCTCGCTATATATTAATAATCTTTGCAGTGCAATGTTTTTGCTATAAAAAAAGCTTCAGAAAAAAAATATCAATTTCCTTTAAATCTAATATTCTATTATTTGAAATAATTAGAATATTAGTGAAAAAAATTTCACGTTTTTTAATGATTATGTCAACAATTTACTATATTTAACTTTTGATATTATTGACATATTTTTGGTATGCTTTGCTTAGCGTCTTGTCTTTTTGTTATCCGGATTTTTAATGCTGTCATAAAAGCGCAGAGCACTATAAAAAAAAGCCTTTATGCACTCACGAAGCACATTGCAGGTGTCACTCTATTTTCATGTTGTTTTTTTTATATTATTATTTTAACCAAGCGCTCTTTAAACTCTGCACCACGGCCGTATAAATAATTTTGTGTCATAAGGACGTTATTGGTCTCCATAACAGCATAATTTTTTTAAGTTCATTTTTTTAAAATTTTGTAGCAATAGAAAGTGCATTATATGAAGAGAGCAATTTTAAAAGGGTTTTAAGTGCCAAAAATAAAATTTTTCAGGATGCAATAAAAACTGTTTTTTTTTTTTTTCTTTGGCTCCCTTATGACTTGCACAACAAGTTTAACGCACATTAAAGACACTATGAGCAGTGTATCGCTTCCGTTTTTTGTAAAATGAGAACCAGTGGCACTTACAACCTATCTAAACAGTAAACTAAAAATGAGGGACTTTGGTACTTACACCATTTTGGAAATATACTCTTAAATATATAAGTTTTAAAGAAAGAGCATTATAAATATAAGCTTTTAAAGCATATAGAAACATATGTTGACAATGTGTACTTCTTTAGATATAAAACGTTTTGTATTTTATTAAATCGGGGGTCATTTAAGGAAATTAACATTAGGTAAAACATTTATCATAAATAAAATGGAAACAAAAATGATTGTACATATTATTTCAAATTTGCTTTGCACAATTATATAAATATTATTTCATTAAACCAAAATGGTATTTGCGAATTACAATATATCTTCAGGAAAATATAGTACCTCCGCAAAATACTGGATTAACGGTATCAAGCCTTGTAATATAAATGGAAATAATAACATTTATATCATGAAAAGCTTCAAATATTCTAATATTTCATTCTTAAATTCAAATTATTTTTATTTTTTGGGAAATATATTAGAATAACATTTTTGCAAGCTATGATTCAATAATACGCTATATATTTAAATTCCATCTTCTAAAACCTCTAATTTCATAGTCAGATATATTTTCTTTTTGGTAGCCTACATCATTATTTGTACATCCCTTACACTTGCGCATATCGGCACAGACATTTATTTTTCAAAAATTAGCACCTTTTATTGCTTCAGCGTACTTTACAACGACAAACGCTTCACTCTAAAAGTGCTATTCGTGCTAGCAGTTTATTAGTCATAATGGGGTCAAAAGATCCGTTGTTTTATTCCCAAGTATATTCCGTAGACAATTGTGTTTACTGTACAGGGAAGTTTAAAAATTTAGACACAAAATATACAGAGTGTTTACGGAATATGTGCTACTTAAGGATATTCATTGTTGGTGGAAGTCGTGCAGCGTCATACCTGTCCGCTTCTTACCAACGTATACTCTAAAAACAAATCGTTCAATGTTTCTTATTGTAACTAGATCAGGCAACGTTATCAATTAACCAAGATATGATCGTGCAGTTAGGGTTCCTTTGTCAGTTTTAATAACTTCTTTTTACTAATTGTGGAAAGAAGTTGGAAAATCATTGTGGCACAATATTTTTTCATGGTTCCAGAAAAGCGCCCGTTGATCATAGTCAGTAAACACTTAAAAACCTATATCGTTTTCATGGAGACCTATTTTCAGTAACAATGAGAAAAAAAACAAAGGTAGAAATACATAAAATAGCTTTTGTTTGTTTAGAACTGATTGCTTTGTAACATATTTAAATTGAAATGTCATGTTCCTTTAACCTCTACTAGTTCGGAAAACCGTAACATATGGCAAGACTTGATAAAAGTGAACCAACAGTAAAAAATACGTCAGAATCTTGTGAATGCACAGTACATTTTTTGAAAGTTTTTTTTTGCATTGCCTATGATATGTAGAATTAACAAAGTGTCAGCTTCTTCGTGATCACGATTTTTAATACTTTTATCTTTATGAATTTTATTGACCAAGGTCATCCCATAAATAATGGTAGGTAATGAATTTCCAAGAAGTTTTTCTTATGCCGCTATCTCTAATCTTTTTGACAAGTCTTCTAATTCATGCAAAAAATTTTCTTCAATAGAAGTGAGCGATGGTTGACTATCTTAGATAAATATTGATTTTGGTACAACTGAAAGCTTATAGCTAACGATGCTTTTTTCTAAACCAAGTTCTGGGCTTTTTTCTTTTCGTTTACATTTGATCAAATTCTTTCGCTTGTAAATCTTGTCTGCAGGTAGTGTTTTTTGCAAAATTATGATTTTTGTCAAACCTTTTTGATAGAGAATTTAAAGCAGGAACAATTTTGCATTTTTCTATAATAATATCGTAGTATTTTTAAGCAGTTCATTTTTGCGTGCAATGTTAATCGGAGTGGTAATGAATTTTGTTTATTTATTTTTTTAAACCATCTAGTAATTAGGATGTTGGGTGATTTTCAGGTTTTTTAGTTAATTTTTTTAAAAGTATTAGTCTTTCACTGTCTTAATCTATGAAACTATGAAATTACGTTATAATCGGAATCAGTCCGATTTTGTTTTTGCTCCACACAAACTTATTAAACCTTTTTATCTCATTTTTTATCTCATTTGCCTCCCTAATTTACTTCCGTTTTAAACAATTACTAAGTTAAATATATAAAAAACGCATTCAGTGTAAAGAGTTATTGAATATAAGTTGTTAATTTAGTTTATTTTTTATATAAAATATATATTATTTTGTATGATAAAATATGTATAAAATATATATTTTATAGTAAAAAATAAAAAAAAATTAACAATATAAATTATTTTCAGTAATTTTTTACGTTGAATGCAATTCGGAACAGTGTTTCGGAAAGGAAGAAGGATTTTTTCATGTAAATAGCTCTAAAAGAACAGCGCAATTTAGATATAAAGAATTATATTTGATAAATTACGAGAACTCCTATTAATAATTTTGATTATAAATGCTTTGAATTGTGGAAGCATCAAATGGAAGTGTTGCAATACAGTGTTAATCAAATTTCCAAAACAAAATAATATTTCTCTGTTATTTTAATAATCTTTTACATTTATTGTTAACAAGATCTTGTTATGGAATATTAGATGAATAATCATTAAAAAATATGTTAGCAGGATAGCAAAATTCCTTTTTAGCTCTGACGTTGCTAAAGCATAGTTTCTCTAAAGCATAATGAAATGATAAGAAGTCTTTGTTAAGTTACAGTCTAAAAGTATTGCCAAAGTCACAGTTGGAGTTATTGTTGTTGGTTTACTGTTTTTTTCTAAAATGTTGTGAACAATTTTACCTTCTACCTGTCATCATTATTTATTTTGATTTTAGAAGCAAATAAAATTTGATTAGCAGTATAGTTATCGGTAATCGTTCAAATGTTTCCATATTTCGTACTTAGAGTGCAATTATTAAAGTCTACAGTCTCCCAGTAGGATAGTTTAATGATATAACAATTCTTTTCAAAGTGAAAGAAATATTTTTAGTCACTTTTTCAAAATCAATTTCTCCCTTGCCAATCACTATACTTTTGCTCAAACTTTATAGCCCATCGAATGAATTCAACGTTTTTTTTAAGCATTTAAAAAGTTTCATCAATTTTTCCTCCACATTGTTTAGTGTAATCTTTTAAATCAGATATAATTTGACAATACAATGCGAAATGCTATACGTGCATTAAGAATTGGTTACTTCTGATACGTTAGTATTTTTGACTATATTTCATTGTACTACTAAAAAAATGACAACAATGCAACGTGAACCAAAAAAAAACTAAAACTAATTTTACCTCATAGCTAACATGTAAATCATTTATTTTATATTCACATAAATGATCACGTGCTAAAAAATATTATCTTATAATTATTACTCTGATAATTATTATGAAGATTTTAATCATTTAAAACAATTAAAAAAAGTTAATTTGCATTCATACTTTGCTGCTATTGTAAAATGATAATATTATCATTTTTAATATTGACATTTTTTTAGCATATTTTTTGTATATAATTATGGGTTATTTAACCCATAATTATATGCAAAAAATATGCTAAAAAAAAATGTCACTAATTAAAATGATTTTAATTTTATGAAAAAATAAAATCCTCATCGAAATGCCAGTAATAATAGATGCGACTCTGAGGAGACGTTTATTACTTAATTACTACACAAATTATGTTTACACATTAGCATTAATGTTTTTTTTTTTTTTCCATTTTTAGGCCTGTCATTGTTGAAAGCATACTGTAACACTACTGTAATTAAACATTTGTAACTTTTAAACAGTAAAGTGACGTTTTACTATTTTAAACGTTTTTTTTAAATAGTACAACGTAACTTAACTGTTTAAAAGTTACAGATGTTTAATTAAACTTTTTAAATATGGCCAAAGTAATCCCGCTGGCCAAAGTACTTGTTACGCTGTTACGGTACTTTTTATTTTGTAATCAATTTTTTGTTTTATAAGTTTTTTGTTTGGTGATATATTTTTTGCATATCTTCGTTTATATTAGTGTTTATAAAACAATATATATATATATATATATATATATATATATATATATATATATATATATATATATATATATATATATATATATATATATATATATATATATATATATATATATATATATATATATATATATATATATATATATATTTAATTACTGTTAAGTACTGTTTTAGGTGCATTGTCTGTCTTCTTTATTTATAAAAATTCCTTCTTTATTTTTGTCTCGACAACTGTCAAAATATGCTTTGTTCAAAAAATAGTTCACCTTTATTCTAATGTACTTCATTTCTTTCCTCAGGCGTTCACTGCTCGTATGTGACATTTGGCACGTTACCGTCACAGAATTTTTTTCAGGAAGGCATTTAGATTCTCTACAAATATATTATGATTTTTAATGGTTTTTCTAATTTTTATAATTTCTAAACGTAAGGATTTGCTTATGATATTTTGTCCAGTTTAACGCATAATAAAGTTCGTTTGGTGATCGGCTCCCTCCCCCCTCCTCCTTAAGACGCCTCTCTGCAATATAAAAAAAAATTCAATTTTTGTGAAATTTAATTTGAAATTAGTGTTGAGGCAGTATTGGACAATTTTCATGGGGCACATATGGACGTATTGCGTGTCTCAATACAATCTTATTGACAAATTAAATTGTTAAAAATTATAAATTAAGCAAAGTTTAAAACTATAAAAAACTATTAAAAAAATATAAAAGATATATAAAGAAGAAAACTAAAATTTGCTATAAATCATGTCTTTAGTAAAACAATGAAACTAAAAGAAGTTGTAGGTGTATTTGGGTTTTCTAAAAGTAGATTGGGTTACAGAATAAAAATGCTTAGAAATTATTAAAAATTAAAAAGTAAAATCTTTTCCACTAAGTATTCTATTTCCACCTTTATTAATAAGTTCATAATATTTAAACTTGGTTGAATGCTATGAACTTTATTTTTTCACTTGGGTTAAAAGAAAACTTGTATTCATTTGTATTTATTTTAATCCATTTTACATTCACACTCTTTACTTTATAATTTTTTAAAGTTTTTCTATTTATGTGATTAATAGGGGAATAGTATTTTCATTTTTGTTTATTTGAATATAATCTACAAAAAAAAATTTTCATGGTTTGAGATCGTTATAAAAATAATTCTGTTATTGATAACAATTCTTATAATTCTTCTATTGTTTATAATTTCTGCTCAATAAAAAAAAATATTTTTTGTCTTTTTATGTCCTAAACTGCCCTAACAGTCTAAAACTACCCCCCTTCCTTCCCTTGTGGGATAGTTTTGGACAATGAGTAGCTTCGTTTTTAAGAAAAAAAAGCAACTATAATTTATTTGAACTACTTGGGCTTTGCTTTTTTTTTAAAACTATAATTTACGAGTTTGATAAAAACTATTTTGAGTTTTTTAGACATGTTTTGATTATAACAAATAACCATTTTCAAGTAATTGTTCAAACACTCAACATTTGAATGTAAAAATTGAAGAGCATTTAAAATCTCAAAAAGAATCGCACCAGGGGTGTGGAGTCGTAAAAAAAAAGTACCAACTCCGATTCCGATTCCAATTCTTAAAATTTTCAGAGTACGACTCCAACTCCAACTCCAAAGCAAAATTTTTGAAAATTTCTTTAAATTCTTTAAAAAATAATATGCGATAATTAAAATTTTTTTTTTGCCAAATATATAAAAAAGTCTTTGAAGGTTAAATATTTTGTACACGCTTTTGCAATACTGAGAAGTTTTACTATTGGAGTCGCAATTTTATTTAACCAATATGCATGAAAATCATTACATTTTATTAAAAAATATTTTAGAGTCGCAAGTCGCAATTTTGTTTAACGACTCCGACTTCGACTCCGACTCTGACACCGACTCTGCTAAAAATGTCATGACTTCAACTCCACAACTCCGACTCCGAATCCGACTCGACAACCCTAAATCGCACATCATCCAGTGCCATCTAGAACTTTGGTGAAGCCAGTAGTTGTTCCAATTAAATAAGTCATTAAAAAAAAGTTTAACTAAAAATAAAAACAAGAAATTTGTTTTTTCTCAAAACTTTATAGATTTAAGAATTTAATGCTTTTTAAATTAAATTTTGTAAAGTTAAAAATGCAATGATTGTTATAAGAATCAAAGTAATAAATATTTTATCATTGTTTGCTTTACGAGTATTGCAGCTAAAACAAAAAATTTAAAAACTTTTGTTATACTAAAAAGTCACCATTATTGCCGCTTACATTAGAAACGCAAACATTATTGACTAACTTTATTTATACTAACTTTATTGATATTAAATTTATTGATGCCACCTTTATTGATACCAACTTTATTGATACCAACTTTATTGGTACCAACTTTATTGATACCAACTTTATTGATTCCAAGTTTATTGATGCCAAATTTATTGATACTAAATTTATTACGACAGCTACATATACACATTATTAATTTAAGCGTCACCGATGGTATTTAAATGACGCTAAAACTATTAATGTCATATGCTAAACTTTATTATTCGTTTATCAACTATTATTTTTCTAATTTATTTCATGCCGATTTCCATATAAAATAAAATTAGACAATTATAAATAACAATTTAAAAAATATATAGAAATAATCAATATTAACAATAGACAACCAGTAATATTTGGAAATAATAATTTAAATGTTTCATATTCTGCTTATAAAGCACACAGTTGAGAAACTTCATAGAGTTTAGGTTTTTTCAATGTCTAGAAGCAAAAGTTTCAAATTCTACAAGCAAAAGTTGCATATACTTTTTATACACATTGTATTTTCATTTTTTAGACCAAATTTTACACAACATCAACAAAAATTTCAGTTAAAAGAATTAATAAAAAAACAAAAATTTTAATTTATAAACTTTTGACTAAAAATTACTAAAATTAAAATTATCTAAAAATATTACAGGTGGTTAAATTTTTTGTAATAAAAATAATTAACAGACATTTAACTATATAAAATATACTAACTAAAAATATATAAAATTTTAAACGCTTTGTAATTATACAAGTTAACAAAAGAGTAAGTTGGAAGAGCGCATTTTCAAGGCGATTCATTCCGACGCTTGAACATTTACATTTGAGAAGCAGTATAGAATGGTAGCCAGCAGTAACCATTTTATAATTAAAAAATTCAAAACTTATCTTTTGTCATTTTAAAAAAATTAAATCTATCAAATATTACGTTTTATTCCAAAAATGTATTTTCAAAAATTATTAACGAAAAACTTATCAGCAATTAGTTACGAAATATTTTTATTGATGTAAAAATATTTTAGACGCACTTGACGTATGAGCACGATTTTCATGAGCTATGTTGGCCATTTACATTAACCACAGCCTATAGCGGTCGAAGAGCGTTAAACCTTTCTTATAAAGGTTACTTCCAAGAAATTTGTTAGTGGTTTGGGATTAAAAAAAATCTTGTCTATATGTTCTAGTTCCAAATGCCGAATTAGTCAGGCAATGTGTGTCAAGTGGATATTGTGAGGGGGGGTTCTCTTGCAAGTAATCCATATGATTTTGATACATGCGACTGTCTTTAACACGAGTATTTGAGTAGCGAGAAGTTTGAGGAGCGTCACTTCCTTCATTGTGTGTTTGAATAATAGGATATTGAGTTTCTTGATGCTGTTGATATGGATGCATGCTGTGAGATGAAAAAGGCGATGTATTTAAATTGGAGCTACCTTGTGGAAGCGTAGTCATTCTATTGTCGTAAGGAAATTGATTTAAGGTATGGTACTGCTCGGGTTTAATTGCAGGTGAACTTGCATAACTTTGCCATAATGTATTCGTATGTTGATCGTTTACAGGTACTCTAGACAAATCCTCGCGCATTCGAATATCTGGTTCGCGTATGTAAGGAAGACCAATAGTTTGTGGGTAAGCTAAATTTCGATCGTCAATCCAAGAAACAGACCGAGATTTTTTTCTGTTTGCTCTTCTTTTTCTATAATCGCCTTTTGAAAAAGCTTCAAAGTATGCAGGGTGCACTGTCCAATTGCAACTGCGACCATTTTCTGGGCGATGTAGTTTTAAAAAGCATTCATTAAGCGACAATGTGTGCCTTACACAGTTTCTCCAGCCAGTTCCTCTTTTTTTTAATATTTCAAAAGTATTTGCCATATACTCGTATATTTCTGATAAAGTCAATCGTTTACACGAAGAAACCATTATAGCTTGAGCAATCATAGCCGTGTATGATAGATTATTATCTTTGTCTTCGATTAACACATCTTGCGATTTAAACTTAAAACTTTGTTCTGGAAGATAAGACCCTGGTTTTGTAAGATTATTCATTCTATGATGTTTAAATATTTATGCTTTTGGTGTTGAACCTACCAAAATAATTTATATTACATTTGTCATTATTCAAAACACAAAACAGTAATATTGCTTTTTTCATTTAACCTTCTACTTTTTCTTGCACGGCCCGACACGCTCGGTGACAGCAATTATTATACTCAATCGTGCTTTATAGTTAACCAGTGTCATTTGAGCATACGCAATTCGAATTGGTTTTGTTCGCTCTGCTGCGCTAACTAACGTGCGTTAATATTGAGAAGACCAGTTTCACGCTACCTTGAACTAAAAAAGTATATATTTATTACTAAATAAATATCAGTCTCATTAAATATATGTTCTTTAGTTTTTAATTTTTGTTTAAAAAAACTATTTTATAATGTTACTTTTCATTTTTATACTCACTGTGAACTTATTCTAATATAAAAATATTTTTTAATAAAATGTAATGATTTTCATGCATATTGGTTAAAAGTGGTTGCATTTTATAGCGGCGCAAAAATAATACCTATATTTTTTGTATCAAAAGTTGTTTGCTGAGAAAAGTTTGTGGTCAAATTTTATTTACTTGGTCATATTATATTCTGAATATTTGAGCATATGTTGACTTTTATTAGATTAATTGCAAGTATATTGTTTTCTTTCTTTTAAAAAGTTATTTTTACTTTAATTGTTATAAATAAAGTGCAGTATTTAAATAGCTCATTCTCTTCGAAAACTTTTTTAATACTTTATTTAAAGGACTTGTGATATGACCATACATCGCATACAAATGCTAACAAATTAGTTTCTAGTGTTGACAGTCAACTTGATGTGTTTGCTCTTGATAAGCTTTATTCAAAATGTTGGTTTTGCACTGTTTTTATTTGTTTTTACGTAAGATTTAAAATTCTTTTATTGGTAAAAAAATAACTAAAAGTGAACTGAAACTTCGTTTAGCCGAACTCACACAGCCACCACTCTTCTCTCCGCCGAACTCACACAGCCGCCACCGTTTCAGCAAATTGTTTTAAACACTTTTAGAAGAATCACTTTTAATCAGAGGATATGACAAAAAATATCTTTCCCGTAATTCTTTCTGCTTTTTCTCAATTTACCCTCAGGCGATGCCTAAAAATGATTCAAATAATTCAAAATACTTAAAATTCCCGACAAAAAACTTACTTAAGAAAAAGATTTAAAAGATCTAGAAAAAGATTTAAGATCTAAAAAAAAATCAACAAAAATAAATTATAATCCAGTAAAAAAAACTATAAAAGTATTTTGTAAAACCTCTACTACTGGTTGGCTACACGCTAAAACCAGGTTTGACAGCAAAAACTAATTAACTTTATATGAATATTATAATTTGTTTGGCTTTATTTTAGTTAACGGATGCCATTTCATAAAAAATTAACAAAATTAAATGTCGGATAATCAAACAAATTTAAGTAACTGAATGTCGGATAATCAAACAAATTTGACTATACAATAGTCGACTATTCTATTTGATTGTTTATAATCAAGTTCGAATTTGAGATTCTAGCTCCAAAAATTCTGAGAATTTATCATAAAGTTTTAATTTTCGCAAAAACACATCTGAGATTTTATAATCAAAACAGAGATTTAAAATTCATCATAGATAAACACTGCAATATTTGTACTTAGACCATTTGTTCGTATTTTCCAAAGAGAAAAAGAGAGTTTTATGAAGAATTTTGATTTTTTAGTCTAAAATTAACGCGTTTAAAATTTCTTATAAAAATGATCTAGGTACTGGTAAATATATGCCGTAATTATATGATGTAGTTATATGAATATCTTTAGCCTAATATAGTTGTATTTAACCTTTTTTTTTTGTCTCAATTTTTTAATTTTAATAAGTTTTTGTTTAATCAAACAATAACAAAATAATTATGTGGTATTACGAGCCATTTAATGTCATGTCTAAACATAAACTCCTCCATAAACTCATAACATAATCATAACATAACCATAACATAACCATAACATAACCATAACATAACCATAACATAACCATAACATAACCATAACATAACCATAACATAACCATAACACAACCATAACACAATCATAACTTAACTATAAGATAACTATAACATTTTTTTTTTTTTTTTTTTTTAATTTACCTCCCCAAGGCCGAGAAGACCACTACAGACGAGGAGGCTACTTAATTGTGGTTATAACCTTCTCTCAACTCTATAACTCCGAAACACAAACAAAGCCACTGCACAGAGAAACAAGTTGAGCGCGGTACTACCAGGGACATGGTGGGGATCGAGCTCAGAACCTCTTGCTTATGAAGCAAGCGCTCTACCACTACATCACTACCGAAACATAACCATAACATAACCATAATATTTGCAATGCATAGATAATGTGATTTCCCTAATCTTTGCTGCGTTTTTATTCTACTAATTATTTCAATTTTTGTTTTAATTTTTTAGTTTTAGTTCTTATTTTTTTCATTTTTAGGTCCCGGAAGAAGAAGTGTTAGAAGAGTTTTAGAAGAGTTTTAGAAGAGTTTAGACGAGTTTTAGAAGAGTTTTAGAAGAGTTTTAAAAGAGTTTTAGAAGTGTTTTAGAAGAGTTTAGAAGAGTTTTAGAAGAGTTTTAGAAGAGCTTTAGAGGGGTTTTAGATGAGTTTTAGAAGAGTTTTAAAGGAGTTTTAGAAGAGTTTTAGAAGAGTTTTAGAAGAGTTTTAGAAGAGTTTTAGAAGAGTTTTAGAAGAGTTTTAGAAGAGTTTTAGAAGAGTTTTAAAGGAGTTTTAGAAGAGTTTTAGAAGAGTTTTAGATGAGTTTTAGAAGAGTTTTAGAAGAGTTTAGAAGAGATTTAGAAGAGTTTTAGAAGAGTTTTAGAAGAGATTTAGAAGAGTTTTAGAAGTGTTTTAGAAGAGTTTTAGAAGAGTTTTAGAAGAGTTTTAGAAGAGTTAGAAGAGTTTTAGAAGAGTTTAGAAGAGTTTTAAAGGAGTTTTAGAAGAGTTTTAGAAGAGTTTTAGATGAGTTTTAGAAGAGTTTTAGAAGAGTTTAGAAGAGATTTAGAAGAGTTTTAGAAGAGTTTTAGAAGAGATTTAGAAGAGTTTTAGAAGTGTTTTAGAAGAGTTTTAGAAGAGTTTTAGAAGAGTTAGAAGAGTTTTAGAAGAGTTTAGAAGAGTTTAGAAGAGATTTAGAAGAGTTTAGAGGAGTTTAGAAGAGATTTAGAAGAGTTTTAAAAGAGTTAGAGGAGTTTTAGAATAGTTAGTTTTAGCTTCTATTATACTCACAGTTCTGGTTTACTTGATTAAATGATCGTCTAGATAATTATTAACTGATATTTTGTAAATAAATTTATCATCTAATATTTCAGTAAAAACATATTTAGAAGATGAAAGAGAACAAATAATATCTATACAATTACAGTGCTGTTGTAACCTGCGAATATATTTACTGTCTGCAAACGTTTAGAAATGTATTTGACGCATAATGCTGATAAAGATATTGATGCTTACAATCTTTACAATGAGCTTTAAGTATTATCTCAAAGACTTTCATAACCTATCTTACCATTAGATGTGATTCTCTATATAGTACAAAAATATCGGAAGATTGACAACCAAGTGTTGTTGTTTTTTTGAGAATACATTTATACACTACCAGTGTTGGTAGCTTGTGGAGAATGCAGTTTTTCAAGATATTTTTAAGATGTAAGTTTATTTGGGTTCTACTATCTATGAAAGCAGACACGTGGACTTAGCAACAATTTTTATAGAATGTGACTGGCTTAAAATTAAAGTTAAAGCGTGAAAGAAGGCAAAATAATTAAGTTTTGATTTTGTAGTCTTCTTGTAACATTTATGTCATTGATAATAAAGTAATGTCACTTTAAAACTATTTTTTTCTTTTGCGTATTTTTTATTATTATTAATTTGTGTGAAAAGGAGCGTTTTAATAATTTTTGCCTACAGCACTAAACAAAACTTGTACGGAACTGAATTCTTTACAACATATGTTTTTTTCCTCAAATGACGCATGAGTAAATTATTCATGAGATTGCTCCTACATTTAAATCTAGTTGTTGATTAAACCTAGTTGTTGAGCAACTGCTGGACGGTGTTTCTACCGCTGTTGGAAACCAAGCTTAAAATATAAAAAAAGTATAAATATGAAAGTTTTTACTAAACATATTTTCAAATTACATATTGCACAATCGTATCAAAATGTGCACAAATCAACTGACTATCGAAACTATTGCAATTATTGCAAAATAGTTAGAGTTTTATAAAGTTGTTATGTTGCAAATAAAATCAAATAAATCGAATTTATATTAACATTTTAACTATAGTAGTAAAAACCTGTAGTTTTTAAAGTCTTACAGATCAAAATGCTTGAATATGATATACAACTTGTGATGCAATTTATTAAATAAAAAGAAAAAAATAGTACACTTAATAAAAATCTTTTATGCAAAAATTGGATTTTTATAATATAAATTGCAAATATATGCGCAGTAAAATTTGCATAATTATTTCAAAACGTGTCTCAAAATGCACGTTTTTTAACTTAATTTAGTTTTTATTTGAAGAAAAATATGCATTTACATATTTTTGGTTTCTCTAATCGTGATAATATTTTTTTCAGACAATGATGGTTAAGAAAATTATATACATGTAGCTTTAGAAATAAACAGCATAGCATATCTGTTGACATTTACTCACTTTGAGACAGGAATTCACAAAAATTAAGTTGCCTTTAATGATTTTTAGAATTTTTACGGGATTCTAATAAAACATTAATATAAAAAAACAGATACCACCTTTATGATACCTCCTTTACCACCTAATACCACGTTAAGAATAGAATTTCCCTTTAATAAAACTTTAAAAATTAAATTAAATTTTTAAAAGTAGAAGATGTTTGAATAGTTTTTTAGAACATGTTTTCATGACTTATTTTGCAGCCTCTAACGGGGTCTCTCACTACCTCTAACGGGGTCTCTCACTACCTCTAACGGGGTCTCTCACTACCTCTAACGGGGTCTCTCACTAGACCGTTTCTAAGTAATCATTGTTACAACAACCAAGTATGTTTTTAAACATTAAAAAAAGTACAGAAGTATGGATTCTAAACAATAAACAATTAGGAAATAACGAGTTTAAAAATCTTGCAGAACTGAAAGAGAGCAAAAGCATAAAAATGAAAAGATTAAGAAATAGCGGAAAGTCGTTGAAAAAAAAATTACAATTTAAAAAAAAACTCTTAAAAATATATAGTAATATGACATAATTTGGAATGAATATACACT